TTTTTTTGTCCAATTTTGATTTATATTATTTATTTATTTTTTTAGAATAATTATTACTAAAATGTTTTAATGATAGAATGAGATAAATTGTGGACTAAGCATAATATTTTTATTTAAGTTTGAGATAAAATTGTGGCCACCGTGGAGGTGGTTAATTAAAAATTATTTTTCTCCAATATTATTGAAATAGTTATTTTTGGAACGATTTTTTTTATTTGTCTTGGTTGTATGATTCACCTTTATAAGGGTTGAGTTGTTGGTATTGTGATAAACACGGAATTTATGGATTTTGAATTGTGGACTGTGGATTGCGGATTGCGGATTGATGATTGAGTATCATTGATCATGGATTGTGGATTGTTACATAGCCATAAGAGATGTAAAACGAAATATTCTAGTTTCAAGGAAAAAATTGTTTTTCTTTTATCGTTTCATTTTTAATAAAAATTTAGTTTTAAATTTTTATACTTGGTTGTAATGGTTGGGTATATTACTTATGGAGTTTTTAAATTTATGTTTTCAAATTTCATCTCATTTCAAGTGAAGAAGTATGAGCATTGGCTTTTGCATGGAGATTGAGAGATCGTTAGAGTAAATTGGTAAAAATTTAGCAATAGCTCAATTGAAAGTTTATTTGGTTTTATGGAATAAGATGTTAATCATTTTATATTTTGGTTAAGAGATTTAATCTTGTTATTTGGATACTATTGATATTTGTTAATGGAATTATTTATTTTTTAAGTTGTTAGGCTACATTAAAACTTCATAGGAGATTATATTGATATGCTGGTAGATGGCCTTACACATTTATAAGGTTACCTTATAGATGTATGAAGTTTGTTATGCCCAAATTTATGGGTTGGGGCATGACAGTCATCTAGAGTAATTTTTAAGTACCGTAATATTAATTTTTTTCTTTGAAAATCTTAAAAGATATAACCTCTCTTCAACGAGATATTTTTTAAAAATTAAACCTTCAATTTGATTTATACAACAATATTGATTTACTTGTTAGTAGAGTTAATATTACTTGGCTATATATTGTAAACAAGCACAGTATTAGATAAGAAAATAATTTGGGAATAA